TGTGTGTGTGTGTGTGTGTGTGTGTGTGTGTGTGTGTGTGTGTGTGTATATATATATAGATATAGATAGATAGATAGATAATCTATATATATCTCTATAGATATCTATCTATAGATATATAGTAGTTGGGTGCCCCAGACATTTGCCTGCATTGTAATTCATTACTGAGTTACCAAAATGATTTTGTATACATAGATATACATATTAAATTATATATTAAAATCTATCCACCCCTTCCAACAGTATTTATGTGGCATTGTGACGAAGAGGCTGTAATTTGTAGTACAAATGTAGTACATTCAATGTGCTGTATCTTTTAATACAGTCTGTGTATTGTATTTCTTATCTATACTCTGCTCTTTGGCTGCTAATTTCACACAGGCAAAGTGAAATGAAGTATTTTCTCAGTATATTTCAAGAGCTTTCAAATGTAAGTACTCCACAATGGAAGGTGTGGTTCGGTAATAACGTCAATTAAAGACACCGCCATTTATGTTGTCTGTCATACTTCAGTCTCTTCAGAACAAAAGCTACAACCACTTTGCTGCTATCTACTACCTGCTGGTGGAGCGGCTCAAGGCCCATCGCTGCAGCTTCCCCGTTGAACAGCGACTTGACGCTCGCCAGCGCCGGCCCAGCACCATCGCCGAACAGACTGTCGTCAAGGTAGGCGAAGAGGGGGGTTCTGAATAAGGTGTGCAGAGATTACCATCCGCGCCTCCCTGATCAAAGCCGTATTATTCACACCTGCACCCGCGAACAAATAAACGGACAGACACGACCCATTCATTTATTTATCCAGCCAGGTTCTGTTTTCATCTGCCTTGATCTCAATGTGTCCCCCTCAGTTACATTATTCATTATTTTCTTTTCTTTGCACACTGTCTTTTCTCAGCAACACTTTGCAATCTCAATTCACTTCCTTCACCATCTAGGATCTTTTTTTTTTGTCTCCTTACAGAGTCAAATTAACAGCGGCTAGATTTAGTCGTAATTACAATATTATCAAGGGTGTTGTTAAGTATTGGCCATGAATTGAAGCAGGTTTTTTTTTTTTAGAAGTAATATCAAAGTCTCCGTTTTCTCCGTCTCTGCAGCCGAACAGTGGTTCAGCCCAGGTGGGTTTGCTTCCGCAGGGTGTTCGTCTGTTGCGCTCCCCTGCTGTGCCCCAAACCTCCTCCGATGCCTTCACCTTCCCCCAGACTGCATGTCTCCTGGAGCAGAATTTCCTGGTGGAGGATGTCAACACACCCAAAGTAAGTCCAATACCAGTGAACACAGCCGGAGGTTTCAGGGGGTCTTTTTGATTGTGTGTTTGTCCTCAACTCACTCACATTAGACTTCTTGAATAATGCCGTTATTATGGTCATTTTCAACTTTCAAGTATGTCCAGAAAAAGTATCCCTGTGAGCGTGACCGTGATACACTTTGATAAGCATTCCCACTTACAACGAATCAGAAATGTGTGTCTGTGTGTCTACTCCTTTGAGGTTTCGAGCGCTGGGTTGCCCTCTCAACCTGCCAGAGAGCAGCTGACTTGTTCTCTTATGTAAGAACTCAGCCAGCACTCACATCAGACAGGACAGCTGCCTGTCCTGCATGGCTTCTAGACACGCGCACACACACACAGTGATCTCTCACTCTTTCTCTTTTTATTTGTGCCAACCAGCAACCTTTTCCTTCAGGCCTGTTGTTGAGCTGACCAACAATTACAGAACACAGACACCAGTGGTCTGATTTGACGGCCTCACACACGCGTACACAAATAGATGCACTGTCATTCTTCAACATTTATTTTCCATCCCATCTCCTCTCCTGGCTCCATTAAAGAGTGATGTGTACGTTATTTATGTGTGTGTGTGTGTGTGTGTGCGCGTGTGTGTGTGTGTGTGTTGTAAGCAGAACAGAGACAGAGTGTGCGTTATCTGCGTAAATGGAGCTTGGTTATGTAAGCGGTGCTGTGATGATGATATGACCTAATGCGAAGCTGAGTGAACACACATGGACAGGAAGCTTATGCATTGCTTGAGCGATCTCACCGCTGTGACCTCCTACCCATTAGCCCAACAGCTCATCTTTTCTTTTTTAGTTTTTGGCTTTCTTTTTACTCTACATTCAGCTTCTTCTCTCTGCACTTCTTCATCCTCTAACCTCACTTTCCCCTTATGACCCCCACCCCTTCTCTTGGTCTATTTCTCAAAGTCGTGTGTGTGCGTGTGTGCGTGTCGATTGAGTAACAGCATTCCTATCGCAGCACACTACAGAAAACAGATGGAGAATTGGGCAAAGTTGCTCTTTCTAGACCAACACCAGGCTTTCCGGTTACTGTGGCCACTCATGCAGATTATCTTTGTCTGTGTCTGTGTGTGCGCGTGTGCGTGAATTTATGTCCATGTGTGTCAGTCACACAGCCCTTTCAGTCAAAGCTCACTCCCTGCATTCCTTTATCCCCACCCTCTACCAATACAGCAACACACACAGGCCTGCATGCTGTAACAGACAACAGAGGGAGGAGAGTAACTAATGGAGCCCTCGTTCTCAGTATGGTGGTCGCCTTTGTGCGTGTTTGTTTAAGATTCGACCAACGGTGTCGGATTCCTTTAGCTTGGAGCTGTTTTCTTCAGTCAATTTTGAATCTGTCTTTCTGTCCCTTCTCATCACTGCCCCTCGTCTAGGTGAACGGCTGTCTGCTGGACCCCTTGCCCCCCCACACTGTCCTCCGCAAGTCCTCCACCTCGTCGCCCAGCAACATGATGGAGACGTCGATTGATGAGGGCATCGAGACCGAGGAGCCCGACACGGAGGATGAGCCGCCCCACCTGCTCTCAGCCTATCAAACTGCACGGTTTGGCCAGCGGCGACACACCCTCTCTGAGGTGACCAATCAGCCGGGGCCTTCGAACCAAGGTTTGATGTCACCTGATCAAATACACACGTTTAGGGTCCATCACATGCGTCTAATGCTAAAACGAAGCTGTTTTGATGAAAACCATTTTGTCCCCCAGGTATATTATTTGCTATAGGCCACAACCCCTCCATGGGCAGCATGGACTCGGACATGGGCTACGACATGGGCTCCATGCAAAGTGACCTCGGCCTGTTGGACGATTCCCCATCCCTCAGTGAAGTGGTACCGGCCAACAGCTCCGCCCCCGGCATTACCCTGACGCCTTTCTTGAGCGCTCGGCCCGCCAACCCAGCAATGGCTGTCCTGACTTCTCAGCACAGGGAGGCGCACAATCGCTCCCCAATCAGCTTCAGAGAAGGACGCCGTGCCTCCGACACCTCTCTCACCCAAGGTCAGAACCACCATTGTTAATTCCTTCCTCTATATCCTTCCATTCTTCACTTCTCCAATTCCAATTTTTCATGACTGTCAATTGATGTGTTCCTAATGACTTAATGTCAGTGTTTTCTGTTGCTGTTTTGATTGGTGCTTTTTTTTTTTTTTTAAATGATCATTTTAAATACCAGTGGTTTGAGGTCCTAGGGGACCCTAGTCAAACGCAACCAAATGTGCAGTTTTAATAGATACAATAGAATAGATGGATCAAATGTTTGCCATGGGTCCAGATGTTAAGTATCAGACAATGTTGGAGGAGTAGAAGCACGCTGTCAGTCATTTTGAAGTAGGCAGACACAGATGCAGCAGACACAGATTTCCTCATGTGCTCTTCCTGTTTTGCAGAAAGATATTCTGGGACACATAAAACAATCACTGTCTAAAGTGGAAGTGAACAAGACAGGTTGAGAGAAATGCTTTGAAATCACCGATCAGCCGTATATACGCTAAGTTTCAATGAGGTGCCAGATCTGACACGTTTTCTTAAAGCCCAGTCACTACGAGCTGCAGCGAGTTTGATTTATGAAGTGTCAATGTGCATATGTCTGAGGCTGTTGGATCCACGGAGCACCAGTCAAGAGGAAGAGCCGTGATTCTCAGGACACAGACGCAACACCACCGCTGCAGCTGCACCCTCACACCTTTCTACACACGCATACTGTGTATATATATCTATATATACTGTAGATATATATACATATATTCCCTCTCTCTCATTAGCTCCCCCTCTCTTTCACACACTTGTTTTTCCCCCCGTCTCTTCTTCCTCTCTCCTCCCTTCTCTTTTCCTCTCCAGTGTCTCGATGACTATGACGGTGATGATTCACGTTATGAATCACGGACGGATATTTTTGAAGGTTTCAGCCCACATATCTCACTCTCTTCCCCCTTTCTCTCTCTCTCTATCCATCCTTCTCTTTTTCACTCCCTCTCCCTCTATTATGCTTGTCCTCTGTTGTGCTTTTCTTTCTCTTCAAAGTTTCCGTCTGTGGTAAAAATCAATAAAAAGATTTGAGAAAGGAAAATGTCAGTCTGTGGCTGGCAGGATTTGTCTTCACTCCACATCAGAGAAAGAGCCAAAATATAAGAGTGAATGTTAAACAACCTCTATCTACCATGTGTTCCTTTACAGCTACCTTACTCTGTGCCTGCTGGTTGTGAATCACCTGTGCTTAAGCCAAGTAGAAACTATTATTAAAGATTCAAAATGTTATTTCCCGAACACTACATTGACAGCCTGCACTCTCACTTGGTATTGGTGGTTATTTATATATTTATTTTTCAGTAATCCTCTTTTGAGAGTGTTGACGCAGTGGATTCTTTTTGCGTCAGACTGCTGACTACTGGTTTTAAATAACTCCCACCATCATGGTGAGTCAGGTCCTATCGTTCACAGTAAGAGCTCGTCACCACTGGATGGCTCTTATCAGAGCCACTTGCTGTTGCGCGCACACAAAAACCTGTCACATGTGCACACACACACAAACACACACACACACCCACAGTGGCTCATGACGTACATCCGACCACATTGTCAGGAGGGGCGATGAGAAGTGCTGAATCCCTGAGAGGATCGAGCAGCAGATGTCCTATTATGAAGAGAGAGGTGACTATTGATCAGCTGCAAGAATCCAAACTGACTTTGTATTGTGGGGATTTGATTATGCTCTTAGGTCTGGTTGCGTTTAGGCAGCACCTCCAGAACTTGGCGAGGACCAAAGGCATCCTGGAGCTGAACAAAGTGCAGATGCTGGTGGAGCAGATGGGGTCCGGGGAAGGGGCCTCCATGGGCCCCCTGGGACCACAGCACCACTTGCACAACCTCCTGGAGGTCAGTCTTAATGAATAATCATACAAAAACACACACTCAAAATCTTTCTCTTCCCAAACCCGGTATCAGTCGGCTTCAGTGCCTCTACTATCCTCACCCTGTGTTGCCCAGAAAAAAAACAGGCACCCAGGCTGTTGTATAACCCCAAGAGAGGCAGCCAACTATGGCTTGTTTACTGTCTCCTGTCCCCCTGTGGCCTGGAGCCTAGGCCAAAGTGAATGCAGCCATTGTTGAAGTCAGTCAGACTTACCAATAGTAGTGACTGGCACTCAATAGGCCCAAGCTGCAATCACACACAAAGACAGGCACACATGCACTAAATGATGCGCACACAGAAATGCAGCAAGAGGAACCATTTGAGGAAACATTTCTACTCTTTCCTGTAAAAAACACCAAATCAATGGTAGAAGCAGACCATATCTAGCTGTTTTCCTTTTGTCCATCTCCCATAATGCAATAACGCCGCTCTTTGTTGGTTATGATGATCTGGCGCCATCATCCTTTTAATTTGCTTTCATTTCATTTAACTACTGTGTAATCCCTGTGGTTCATGCCATTTAGAGAAAGGCATCTGGCTGATCAGACACCACACAGGCATTTGGTCGGGAGACAACACGGGTAATCCAGTTAGACCACATGATGAAGCACCCAGACCCTGACACAGCTTTATAGAGAGGGTATCTGGGATAAGTGTGTCCACATGCATGTGTGTGTACATGAACATAAACGTCCCGTGTTCTAATGCTTTATGTTTTTGATTGAAGGGTGAGGCGTCCAAGCAGCAGGAGGGCCTAGCTTTATACCAAGGTGGGCCGCAGCCGCCTCTCCTGTCCCGCAGACAGAGTTTAGAGACACAGTACCTCACTCATAGACTACAGGTACAGTCGAACGCCAACTTCACTCACCTGTCTTTCTCACTTAAGCCAAACGGCTGTTTTGAAAAACATTCAGTGATATCATTTGGAAATGAAATGGTTCTGGGATCTGCCATGATGCAACAACAATGAAACGGTTTAACAATTGTCACCATGGTACTTATCCTGAACACAGTCATCAGTCCCAATCTCTCTTCTGCCCCAAAGGCCAACGTCTTAGCAAACAGTCCTGCTAGCTGCCAGCTTTTCTGTCAGGACACTCGAAGTTTAGAGCAACAGCTGCAGGAGCACAGGTAAACAACACTGTACATGTCTGCTCCACACATCTCCTTCTCAGTACTTTTCTCTTTTGTTCATTTAGCTGCGGTGACGTTTCACTGCTGAAAGATTGTATTCAGGGCAAAAAAAGAATTTGCTTAAATGCAAATAATTCAAGTTGGTTGTAGATTGCACTCCACTGACAGAGCTGCACTTGTTTAAACACCTAGGAATGAAACTACAGCAAGTGTCAGAGCAGAGCTACACTTACCTTGCCTGATCAGAATGAAATGACATTTTGTTTTGTGAGTTATAAAAAAAATCCATCCCCTGTACAGTTGACAGGAACGGGGAGATTAGCTATATAAACCAAAACCGCTTTTGTACTCTGCTGTAAATATGTTTATTTCTGCTGTATATTTGGGCATTTAAACACGGAGGTCAATGGGGATTGACTCGCCTTTGGGGCTGGCCTCAAGTGGCCATTTGAAGAACTGCAGTTTTTGGCACTTGCTAACTGCGTTAGCTTGGTTTCACAGCACTTGCCCCTTGGGTAGCAGTTAGTAGCAGCTGTCAATGCTTTTCACATTGATCAAAAAAAAAAACATCTCAATTTAAGAGTTGTCGTTTCTGTACAGCTGTGTCAATCTCATCCATGCCTTTCACCATGTTTGTGTTGCTATTTTTCTTGAATGTAGTTTTGTGGCAAGCTGGCAATGTAGGAAGCAGGTGTCCCCATTCTTAATGCCATCTACTAAGCTCTGATTGGTTGACTGTTTCTCCAACTGTCAGTGAGCAAAACGGGCCTATTTGAATTGACATCGATTATACCAGACAGAAACCACCATTTTTGAATTCAACGTTTTCTGCAAGCTTTTTGTTCGTCCTTGTGTTGATTCAAAGTGTTGTCTTGATCTAAGTGGGATCTACTGCGCTCCCCACAGACTGCACCAGAAGAGGATGTACCTGCAGCAGTCGCAAGGCATGGGGCTGCCGGTGTACTTCAACCAGATGCAAATAGCTGAAGGATCCTACCCGACAGGAGGCCCTGCTCTGGACCCGGCGGCGTCTCAAAGTTCCCCTCAGGGCCCCCCCATGTCAGCTGCCCACCAGCCTCAGCCCCAGCAGCAGGGCAGTCCTCAGGCCTCGCCTCACTTCAGCCACCCCCATAGCATGAGCCCCTTGATGGAACCGGGCGAGGGCCTGGTTTATGATCCCTACATGAGCCACCACCACTACACCCAACACCTGCCTCCTGGATCTCACCTCCACCACCAGCTCCACCATCCCCTGCCTCACGAAGCCTCTGCCAGCAGCCTGGGCTTCAGCTACCTTGCAGGCTGTGAGCAGCAGGCCTTGGGGCCTTCCAATGAGGGTCTCCACCAAGATCATTACGAGTTCCCACTGGACCCCGCCCTGTTGCCCCCGCCTGCTCCAGGAGTGGCCGGAGCTGTGGCTGGGATTTTGGCTGGTCCGGGCCGGTCAGACGGCCTGGGCCTGCCTGACCTGCAGGGCTCTCTCCTGGACAGCGAGATGATGGAGACCGTGGACTCCCAGCATGGCTTCGTACTGGTCAACTAAAGCCAGCTGAAGGGGTAGAAAGCAGTATTAAGCAATGAGAACCTTCGCAGCAACAAGAGTAGAGTGAATGGAGATATAAGTGGAGGCCACATGCGTAGCAACAGGGAAGGAAAAGTGTTCATTTCTGTACGACTCATACAAACTTCATTTCTTAGTTGTGATAAATCTCAGACAACCATTCTACCGCAATCCGCAATCGCCCTCTTCCTTTCCTCCATTTCCTCCTCTGTTCTTGTTCTCACCAGCTCTGTGAGGCAGGAGCAGGTCCCATGTGTGGCACGATGTGAGCTTCGCCGTACTAACTTGGCGAGGCTGCTGTCGTCATGCACGTTGTCACACCTGTGAAGATTGGGGAGGTGCTGTCAGAGTGCAGCATTTCACCAAGAAAGGGGTTCGGAAGTGAACTAATTTAGGACCGACTGTCAGGCAACCATAAGGACAATGGCTGGCAGTGGTTTTTTTGTATTTAAAATAGGACACCATCTACATCAACAGACTGGTTCTCAAAACACTTGAGATTTGTTCTCTGTGGATTTATTTTTTTTTAATCATTTCAGTAGATAAAAAAAACCAACTGAACAACAGAAAAATGGCCCTCATTTATCATGGTACCAATGATATCACCTCAAATTCAAGTGTTTAATGTGATGGCGATATTTATGAGCTTTTAACACTAACATATACGACAGGTAACCTTTGTTTGTCATCTGCCTTAACAAATACCCTAACCATGAAGCACCAGATTGGGGAGTCAAGCACCGTTTGTTGAGCAGCGCTAAACTCGACCCAAGCTGGTTTTTCTTTTTAGTTAATTGATGAATGAAAATAATATATAAAACACAACTCTGTAGCTGCAGGCTTTTGTGTGGGCCACGTGACATAAATAATAGTAACTACTGATCCTGATTTATTTCTTACACTACTGAGCTGCTTTCCCAGGTGGCCACACGTCTCTTTCACAGTTGAATTGTGGGTCATGCGTTTGCCTGATAAATGAGGGCTGATGTAGTTTAACCTGTGTTTGGAAGTTGTGGTGTTTTTAGACAGTCAATATTATTCTATTTCTGTGGCAATACTGAAGCAATATTAATCCTTAATGTTGAGGGGTTGTGGATGGAAGCCCCACCTGTACAGCCAACTCTGATTGGTTCCCGGGGACCTGAGTCGTCGGCAGTGTGACATCACTTGAGCTGATGATGTAACCAGGACTTGATCTTCCCCTCACTCGGCCTGGAAGTGCAGGGACAAAGCCTGGAGACGGAGAGTGAGTGTGATTATGTCTGTTTGCACAATTCATAGTGCAACTTTTTCTGCATTCATGACATTTGTCGAAGAAAAGACAAACACTGTATTGACGTCTCCTTTCAAAAATAACAAACTGTGCTTTCCCCCTCAGTGCACAGTCGTAGCTTTTAGAATAATTCTGGTTTACATCCTCAGTGCTCCAGTCATGACTCTGTGTTGTGTTATTAATCATGTTAATGACGGTGGAACGGCCCCTTAACGATTCCTGCGTTAGTCTCCATGAAAGAATGTTTCTCTCTCTGACATCGCGGCGTCCGTGAGATGAAGACCAACAGAACATCAGTTACCTGACACTGGATTTTGACTACATGCACACCACCGCTTTTTGACTGACCGGTGAATCCGCAACAGCACTTTGACTGTGTTCAATCTACTTGAAGCGCACAGATGTATCTCCTCTGACAGACGAACAACGGAACAACGGGACAGCGAACGTCGGGATGTTACGACGAGATTATTGGACTGTGACCATCTGCCAAACTGCCTGACCTCTCTGATCTTGGGTTAAACTCTTCGAGCGTTTGTCAGATTAGCCTTCAAAACAAGACGGTCTGTAGACTGGACTGAGCAGACTTTGTAGAGTTCACAATCAGACTCTACAGTACAGATGTGGTTTGACTAGAAGACTTTAGAGCGAACGGTCTTAAATGACGGCTGGAAAATGTGGACCAACTGTTGTTAAGTCCTGTGCGAGACTTAAAGGAAAAATCCACCCTGAAGTTGACCAACAGTCCGAAATCATTGTTAGGCTTATTTAGAAACATTTTAAAAAGACGTAAAATATATGCTGATTATGAAATTCATTGCTGAAGATTTTAAGTCTGCCTATGTTTACAACAGAGTAACACTGTTGGCAATGCACAGTTTTTAATCTAATTATTATTTTTAGTAGAATATTTCTCGCATATAACTCGTCTATCAATAAAACACCAAGTTTTGATGTCGGGATCCGCACCTTTTGAGCTCCGACGTTGAACAGTCAAGAGGACAGAGGTACCAACAATGGCCTCGATAGACCAGAGTGCAGCGCAGCCACAAGACATGTTGCTGATCAGGTCCTGTGGTTGTGTTAATTGTTCCGCCCATAGATTTATGAATGATTGATGTGCTTATATGGTCATGCACCCACCGTTTATTGACAGGAATGAGCTCAGACCTAGTTTCTGGGTCATGTTGAACATGTCCCTTTAGAAAGAGAAGGAGCTCGAGTGTGAGGAAGAACATTAGTCAGCACATGATGGTGTAGGAGCATCACGGGGTGGATTTTGCCTTTAAGTGAATATTTTGATGATGATTTGCTTTCATTTAGTCAATGGTCAGGCTAGAGCAGCTACAGGATGATCTGTGGAGGTTGATTACTGGAGCACTTTGACAACAAGGGGAAGAAGAGATGTAGCGAGAGAGGAGGAGGCGGGAAAAAAAAGGGGGGTTGTATCTCGCTGCTGTTTCCTGGCAGATGAAACAAACTGGAATCTGTAGGAAGCACCTTTCTCCTCTCGCTTCCCCACCAATAATGGACACAAAACAAATTTCTTTCAAAGAAAGACCAGACACAGTAATACTTCTATCTGATTGTTGCTGATTTTAATCCAAGAAAGAGAAACGCTTGTCAGTTTACGACGGGCGTTCTTTGTACAAATTAGTGGTGTAGTGACTCTTCGGTGCACCCAAAGGTGAATTTTGTGTGGAACGTGAAAAAGTGTTCAGTGTGCCTTTTACTTTTCCGTATTTTCAATCTAAATTAAGATTTTAAATAGCACTATTATTTCTGGTTGAACCCTTTTTTATCATTTTATTTTCTTATTTCTTTTTTTCAGAAAATAAGTAGAGCCGGGTTTTACAAAAAGGTACAAAACCAAAGTCCCTCAGAAGTCTCCCTGTACGACCCACCGTGTGGAGTTTTGGAGCTTCTTCGGCCGCTTCTCTACAGTGCTTTGTTCTTGTTGGTCAATCAGTGTATGCCATTATAAAGTATTATAGCAATATTTCTCTAGTTGAAGACTCAAGTCATGAAGATTCTAGTGGATGGGTTTCCAAGTATCATAATTTCACCTCCTGCTGATAAAACAAAAGCATCAATCTATCGATAGAAACCCACTTTTATATTTACCTTCATTGATGTTGACCACACATAAGCTAACTTGCTGTTGAGATTAAAAAAGGTTTATTGAACATATATTTGGTAGGTGGGTGTTTTTTCTTTTGTGCGTCAGTGTGTTGTGACAATACTTTCAAATGGTGCTTTTGTGTTCATGCTGGTTATTGAAACGCGGCTACAGAGCTGACACTTAAGTATTTTCTTCCACACTCGCTCTGCTATCTTCCCCACGTAACCCAATTGTCCCCTAACTACAAACTGCAGCCGTCTCACAGCGCCCCAGGGTTGCATGGTGTAGGCGTTGCTTAATGACCTGGAAAAATAAATCGCACCAAGTGCTTCATATAAACTGTTGAGTCAGACCGGAACTAAAAGCTCCCGAGGCGGACGATCCAGCAGGAGCTTAAGGACTGGTTCTGTTGCATCGTTTGAATATTTGTATTTTCTAAAGCTAGACTTTGATTAGCAAATAAAGTGTTTGTTGACGGGGTTAATGCCGTCACAAATGTGTTGCATATTTCCAGTCACAACTATAGAGGTGACAGATGTGCCATTAAAAAAAAATACCATAATCTAGTATCCCATTAGCAATATCATAGTATAGTATTCCTTTAAAAAGTGTCATTGAAAAGGTTACAGTATACCATTAACAAAAATGTGTAGTATGCCATAAAGATATCATACAGAAAATGTAGTCTTAAAGTAATTTGTTTTAATCACAATCTATGTCATTAAAAAAAATGCCATAGTAAAGTATGCCATAAAAAATGCCATTCAGAAAGTCATAGTATTGTATGTCATAAAAAAAGTTATGGTTATGACTAAACTACTAGCACAAACAAGGTTTTTTATTATTATTAAGCTGTAACGCCCCTTTTAAATACTGTATGTGGACCTTCCTGTGATAAATCTAAAAATAATCACACTTAACTATACACGCATCAATCACTAAACAAACCAATGCTTTCTTTTGTACACCCAGATGTGATCCTCAGCTGCCCTGTGGAGAAACTCTTTGGACTCGGTGTGTACAAGCAGGACAAGGGGCTGAATAATTCATCCCCACTGATGAGCACCCTAAGCCCTGACCGCTGCTTTAGATCACTGATGTGACGTCATTGTTTAGTTCATCGCCATGGCACTCGCTTGTCAATATTTATCAAACTACATCAAACACCATTTTTTCTGATAGGAAAAGGGGGGCCTGTCCCTAGCCGAGCTCTGATTGGTTGACCTCCGTTTCAACATCTGAGGAAAAGACTGCAGACTGTAAATACATCCAGAGCACAATATGCTGGAAAATAACTTCTCAATGCTGTTTCACAGCAGAGTCCCTGTTAGAAAGGATCATGTAGAGAGAACACGTCAATCCAATCAGCCCCCTCAGACAGAGAACAGCTAATCCCACTAATGCACCACCAGAGGTGAGGTGGGGTGGGGGGGGGGGGCGGTCAGTCTGTTCATAGGAACCAAGTTCTCACTCTATGAATCAGACGTTTTCACAACATGCTGAGCCAAACTGATCATTCTGAATAGGTGTCACACTCGCACTGGTCAGACTTCTCGATGTAGCCTCACATTTTGCATCTGTTGCCTTTTAATGCAAAGTGAAAAGAGCTGCAAGACGGCGGCTTTGTCTGGGGATCCAGCCATGAGCTCTACACCTGCTTTGGTATGAGAGAAACGCCAGATGAAACCAGATAACAGGTAAAGGGATATGTCGACACATATTTGAAAAGTGCCACAGAGCAGAATATTTCCCTAAAAGATAGCATTTTCCAGTTATTTATAGCACGCATTCAGTGCCATTGTCTGCCATGGAGACCTTCAGCTGGCTGTCTGGCAGACTATTTGGGGGGGGGGGCAGCGGCAGCTGATACGAGGACAGACGGTGGTAATCTTCTCTTTCTTTCAGTAAAACATCACAATGTCAGAGCGGGCCCGTTCACTCGTCAGCCCAATGTATTCTGCAATGACAATGGTTGCCATGACTACAAAAGAAGGGTGGATGACAACATCCTACTGCGTCTTTTTTAGAGCAGGAGATCACAGCCCTGTTCGGGAGTAGAGCTGCTGCACACACAAAAAAAAACACAAGTAAATTGATTGGGGAAAAAAAAAAAAAAAAAAGCTTTGAGACAAATGCTCGGCTCTTAATATGGAGTTGAAAAAAGTAGTTTTGTAATGAGGTGGGTCTTTTCTGTGATATCCAGCCATGTAATACACACGAACAACAAAAAAACATTTACACTGCAAAGCCTAAACATACAGGCAGCCGTAAATGCTGTAGCTCTGCATGGTGTGTGTTTACTTATATGTGAAATCATCTCTTTGTTGAAGGTCATACTGCACCCGTAGGTATTTGACCCCCATTGTTTCGCGCAGTCTTGTATCTCTGAGTACATAGTGGCCAGCAGATGGACAGAGTCTAGAATCCCAGTACAGATGACCCAGTAGTGCCTGTGGGCTCTGGGCTGGATGTTACAGCAAAGCCAAAGAGTCACTCACTTGAGCGATCTTCATGTTTGCTCCGATTTGATCTCCAGACATTTGATATGGTTTATACACCTTTGCTGCATCACTGAAATATGACAGAATAAAGAGAGGAAGGGGAGCTGAAGTGACTTAAGGGAGATGAGTGGGCCCTGACTGATGTCATTTGTCACCTTGAGAGCATCTGACCTCACTGTGTGTTGCGTGGGCGTTTGTGCGTGCGTGCATGCGTGCGTGCGTGCGTTCGTGCACATGCATGTGCGTGCTGTGTGGGGGCTTTGCTTGACTCCTTTCATTATAAATAACACAGTCCTGGGAGGCAGCTGCATTGACGTCAGGGCTCTCAGCGCTGTCGAGGGCTCTGGCTGCTGAAAATCCCCCCAAATAACAGGATCTAAATAGAAAGAAATAGGTTGCTGCCGTTTCATTACTGCCTCGTGAACTCAAGTGGATTTAAGGAGGCGGATTAGCTCTCGCCCTCAAGTAATCGTGTCTTAATGAAGATTTTTGGTTGTCGAAAAAATTTAGTTCAAAGCTTTGGCATGTTCCTCCTGAGTCTAGATCACCAGCTTAAAAAAAATAACTCTTATGTAGTACTGTATACGTGACGAAAAGGCAAAAGTATTGTTTGGTTATCCGTCTCAAAGGTTCTATAACATTTATCTGTTTCCTACTTCACAATAGCTCTCAAGGTGGTCTCGCGGTAGCAGAATGTGCTGACACACAGCAGCTGCACGAATCTATGCTTTACAGTATCTGTGCATAATGTGCTCTGGCTGTGAGGTGTATACAGCCAAAGGGCTGTGTGGAGGATTGGGAGGGCACATGTGGCTCACAGGAGGGGTGGTGGGAGATTTGAGGAGATTAAAAAAAGGAGAATTGAGATTCTTATAAAGATCTCTGCCATGTGATGTATTGCCCTAATCCTCTGTTGATTGCTCATTTGGAATTAACAGATTGATGTCTTGTGCATGTGGCACAAAACAAAGTACAGCTCAATTTGCTGTGTTAATATAGCTTTAAGACCCTGAAAACTAAGTGTGTCAAACTACACATGGTTGAGAAAGACAAATATTCAGTCTCAGCCCAGCCCATATACTACTTGCTCTCCCCAGCAGTAGTCGGGGTCAGGGCACGTGTCAGCTGCAGATCCTGCCCTGCTCTGCATGGTTCCATGTGGACAAAACAGCCCACAGGACCTGCGCTTTCATCTCTACAGCAGCAGTCCACCAGGTTAGAGCTGACCAAACATGAGACCAGGAACATGTGGAATTAATCCCAGATCTTCTTCAGTCATTTACAGGCTGAGAAGATACAATTTGCGCTTAAAATTATATTTTTATAAAAGCAGACAGAGTATTTACCATTCTTGGACTTCAGGTTTTATATCACGTCACAGAGGATATAATGAGGCCTTTTTTGATACTAAACATTCATACGCAATTGTCCAGCAATAGCATCCAAAATGTAGCTTTTCTTGCACTACATGAACATTACATTTTTGCCGAAAGCAAATCACCAGAAACCCATCATCTCCATCATGAAGCCTGGTGGTGGCATCATCCTGCTTCGGGGACGCTTCTTGGCAGCAGTCCCTATTAACCTTGTGAAGATAGAGGAGAAAATCAATGCAGTAAAGGAAGCCCTGCTGCAGTCTGCAAGACAACTGTGGCTGAGGAAATGTATTCCCCAGCATGAAAATGAGCCCAAATATAAATAGCTACATGGAAAAAAAACATTGTTAAATCCTAGAGTGGTTGAGTCCGGGTCAAGACCTCAAGCAAATCCAGAACATTTGGCAGGACTTCAAATTTGTTTTGTACTCATGGTCACCGTGTAGCTTGACTAAACTTCTGCAGTTTGCATAAAAGAATGGGATAAAACTAAGTCTCCAGCTGTTCTGACACAAATAACAACAAACCAAAGCAGCCCTTTGTCTTAAAATATCAACACACAGAGGGTGAATATTTCTGCAATTATATAGAAATAATAGCATTGTATGCAATATAAAAGTCATGAAAAAGTCATACTTAAAAATGTTATTGTATAGAATGCCCCAAAAAATAATGTAAAAGTCTTATTTAGTATGCCATGAAAATGTGATAGTATACTATATAAAAAGCATATTGTAGTATCTCATGAAAACATAAAATATCATGATATACTATGTCATAAATATGTCATAAAAAAGTAATTGCAAGAATAGTATAAAAAAAATCATAATAAAATGTTATGACATAGTATGTCATGGTAAAGTATATCAGTATAAAGTAATTCAGAGTAAGGTATGCTATAGAGAAAGCTATGTCATAAGAAGTCATAGCATAGTACATCAAAAAACATTAAAAATGTAACAAATATGTCATAAATAGTGATAGCATACTATAGTACATCATGTTGATTTTTTTTTACTTACTCTGACATAGTATTTTTTAACATACTACACTGACACAACTTTTCTAATTTTGCCTCTTTACACGACTCCAGTGGATTTGAAATGACGTAATCAATATGTGGTTGAAGTGTAGACTTTCAGCTTTAATTCAGTGGATATAATAAAAAAATCACATTAACCGTTTAGGAATTACGGCCATTTTTTACACAGTCCATCACATTTTCAGAAGCTCAAAAGTAATTGGACAATTGTCTGACAAATGGTTTTATGGCCAGGTGTGACCTGTACGCTCACTATTTCATGAGAAAGTATGCAGATCTGGAGGTCTGAACAAAGGTCTGGAGTTCATTCAAAATGTTGAATTTGCATTTGGTAGCTGGTCCTTGGAACTCACAGCATGCGGACCAAAAAAGGTGTCAATGCAAGTGAAGGAGGCCATTGTTAGGCTAAAAATACTGAACAAACATCAGTCAGATAGCAGCGACATTAGGATCGGCCAAATAAACAGTTATGTGCCTTTTTAAAAAGAAGGAATGCACTGGCAAGCTCACCAACACCAAAAGGTCCAGAAGTAGATGATCGCAGAATTCTTTCCTTGGTGAAGAAAAACCCTTCATAACATCTACTGTTGTCAAGAACACTCTGGAGGAGGTAGGCGTGCCATTGTTGAAGTCTACAATCAAGAGACGCCTTCATGAATCTAAATACAGAAGCTTCACAACAAGGTGCAAACCTCTGGTGACTCTGAAGAACAGGAAGGCCTCATTAGACTTTAACAGAAAACATCACTGACCAGTTTGGGAACCAGATTCTTTGGACAGATGAACTTGTACCAGAATGATGGGAAGAGAAAAAGTGTGGAGAAGGAAAGCAAACCACATCATCTGTCTAACATGGTGGAGCCAGTGCTTTGGATGGGCATGTATGGCTGCCAATGGAACTGGGTCACTGGAGTTTATTGATGATGTCACAGCTGATAGAAGCAGCAGGATGAGTTCTGAGATGCATCGGGCTATACTATCAGCTCAGATTCAGCCTCATGCTACAAAACTTATTGGACGGCGCAGTTCAGATGAATAATGTCCCAAAACATACTGCAAAAACAACCTATAGTATGTCAAAATAAGTCAAGAGTAGTCATAGTATAGTATGTCATAAAAAGTCATATTATAGTGTTGTAGAAATTAGAAAAAAGTCATAGTATTGTATGTCATAGAAAAAACAAGAGTATAATTTATCATATGTGGGGCTCCTGAAGGCCACTGTCATCTTCAAAGTGTTCTGATCACACCACAGGACCAGCTGATCAACAGACTGTCCGGGAAGAGGCCGATGCCGGTTGTGTCGTCTGCAAATGTGTAATGTCGTAAAAAATGTCAGAATAGGACCAGATCATGGTGGATTTAGATCTGGCTGATAGTTTATCATGTCAACAAAAAGTATAGTTTGTCATAGTATAATCTGTCAAAACAAAAATGATGTCATGAAGTCATAGGAAAGCATATCAAAAGAAGTATGGTGGAGAATGTCATTAAAAATAACTTATAGTATGTTTTAAAAGATGTCATGAAGCATAGTACGTCATAAAACATTTCATAAAGTTATAGTATAGTATGATAGGAAATATGTCATAAAAAGTGCAATACATCACAAAAATGTCATATTGTAGTACATTTACAATTCATGTTTTGTCACAATGCGTTTTCATAGTCGAGTATGTCGTAGTATATATAATGTCATAAGAATTCAGCGTAAAGTATCAGAAAAGTGATTGTATCACATGTCATAAAGTCACTGCATAGCAAATCATAAGAATTTCATAGTAGAGCATGACGTTAAGAAAGTCAGTGTATTATGGCGTAAACATGTCATAAAATAAGACAAGATCTGTGTAGAAACAAACCAGATCTGGGTCATAAAAATGATTAGTTCATAGTAGTGTCACAAATAAGTAATAGTTTAGTATGTGTAAAAGAACTGTGATAAAACAGAATTCACAATAATTTGCTGTAGAAAATGTTACCAAGACTTTCCTCAAGGAGATAAATAATTTATCTTCTATTCCATAAAAATACTTCTAAATTCATCACAGATTCAAATTGAAGTGGTTGTTCTGATCTTTTCCTGTTGCTTGTCCATCATGTAGCAAATGAACAGTGACGAGAGACCTTTATGTACTTGAGCAACAACTAGTTATAAAAGCCGGCTACACTGGTTCCTTTATTCAGATTTTTAAAGACACAGTAGTACAGCATCCCAATTGTTGGGAGAGATTTCAAAATAAAAGCAGTCTCCGTGATACAGGTCAATTAATCAAGGTTTATTCAAGAACAAAATGAGGGGAGGGGGGGGAGGAGGGAACAGCAGGAGAAGTTCAGGGAAAGACAAGTTTATTTTATCAACACAGAAGGTACATTTATTCAACCGGCCCATAACCACCCCCGTAATAAAACAGTATGCACAATTAGGTACTCGTTCTCCATGAAAGCATGCATTAGTTCTCCATCGTGTAGAGATTAGTCAGCAAGAATCCTTTACATTCGCTGACCGTCTGCTTCTAAATCTCATTTAAAATGCAGGACTTTAACGTGACGGCTCTAGGACAGGAAGAGGGCCACGGCCCCTCATAGCTGGAGTCGAGTTAGCGGTACCCTCCTGTTAACGGCCATTATTACGTGCAGAGAACATATCATCAAATCATTAGTGACTACTAATTCCCACCCGAGCACATCAACAACGTCACTGAGGATTTGGAGGAGGGATGATTATGACGTAGCTGGTCCCTATAGGCCCTCTTCACAGCAGCCATTGTGACCCGTCATTGCAGGGTAAGCAGGTGTAATTAATAACATTAATTGTGGCCGTGCTGCATTTTAAGGTGTGCCAGGGCCCTGGTATTTGGCAAGCTGGCTCACTGGAATGAGAGCGCAATTAATTTGATCAATAAAACCTATGTTTACCCGGCCGTGACACATCTAAATGGCTGCTGTGAAAAGGGCGCGTTACAGCGGGTTAGGGTTTGACCGATTCAATCCAAGTACAGAACAAACTGTGCATTTAAGTCCGGTTCACAGAGTTGGGAAAGGACACCATCCGAGACTGATTAGTACATGCAATCATTGAGAGTTCATCACATTACATGCAGTAATGGACACCCCATTATTTCTCTGTCAGAGCTTTGTATAGAACAATCCTGTGAACCGTTTTGGAAACAACAGGTTTGGTGTAAGGAGGAAAAAAAAAAAAACAAAAAAAAAAAAAGAGCCGAGTAGACCTGCACAGACTTCTCAATCAGTTCTCTGGAGAGCTACAGCAGCATCTCATGGAGGAGACGACTATCAAAGGGTGAATTTGGGAGGAAGCTCAGCTAAATAAACAGCTTGCTGCTCTGTCTGCTGCTCAGAGTTTGCGTCAGAGAAGCGCAGCAGTACGGAGAGCTAGCCTAGCGCTGCGTGCTAGGTAGCGAACACAGACGAGTGGTAAGCTGCACGTAAAGGGAGGAATGTGAAGAGGGGTTCTGGACAGCGACGCTTAGCTCGTACAGAAGCACATTAGTCAGCATGCATCACTTAATGCAAGTTCAGCACACTTTGCCGTTGTTAAAGCACCCATTTACAGCAAAGAGGGGGAACCAAGAAGCCTGTGCTGGGCCTGAACATAGTCTACTATTGGACAGTGAAGAAAAGGAAGAATGAAAAATGGATTAAACAATTGTTAACAGCTTTCTCTATACATTTACCAGTTGTTCCTGAACATCAATAAATATCTTGTGAAAGTGTTGGGTGGTTGTCTGGTGAGGCCAAGTTGGGTTAGTTATGCGAGGACCAGAACTGTGTGAAAGGGAGAAAACAAGAATAAATACATTTCATAAGTTTAAAATGCACGTCAGATTTGCTTCGTGTCATTTAAAGTGTGTTTACAATAATAAGAGTGAAACGCTTACCACTGATGGCCTCCTGGGCAAAGTACTTGACATCCATGTCTGTGTCTGTGGCGAGCTTCTCCAGCACCGGCTTCACTTCTGTCTGAAGGGCACTTCAGGACAAAGGACGACAATTATTGAACAAACGTTCCTCTATCGCTCTGGAGAGAAAACATCCGATGACAAAAATGACAAAGACGACATACTTGCTGTCGAGGACGGGGCCGATCTTCTGAAGGGACTTGGCCACGTTGAAGCGTACGTTGGCCACCTGGTCGTTGGACATCTTGAGGACCACTGGCAGCATCTGCTTTGTGGTGATGTCCTGGCCACACGCCTCTGACAAAGCCTGAGACGCACAATACAGACGGTCACCAGCCGTAAACAGCATTCACAAACAATGGACAAATACTCCATTCAAATAACAAACCAACACAGCTTTCGACATACTGAGAAAATGTGCCACATTTGCGGGACGTTAAGCCCTTCAAACACGAGGGCACGTTAATGGGAATCGATGCCGTCGACTCACATTGATGCAGAAGAGAGTCGTCATCCTGTGGAGGTAGTTGGGGTCGTTGGCCATGCCCAGCACTTTGGGCACGATGGTGTTCTGCGCCCACTCCGCTCCAAACTTCTCCACCAGCTTCATCAGGTTACAGGTGGCCGCCTCACGGATGGCATACACTAGAATATGACAGCGATAGGTGTTCCATTATTTACCTACACGTGTGCAATGACCGGGAGGATCGTAGTCTTTGAGGCAAATTTGTGGCAATAGGCTATGTATACAATAATGACTTTACTTAATTTGATTGAAAAATCTTACTATGTATACATAACTCGGTATATTGAGTAAATACACCCTTTGTAATGGAGTCAGTGAGGGACAGACTCTGGGCTGATTTCTCTAATCCTGTTTTTCTTTGGAGAGGATTATATAAGGGTGGCATAGCCCGAACCCGTCATCACCAAAACACACAGAAACTCACACCAACACCAGCAGCATTCCAATGATGTAACCCAGTCGGCCCTTTGTCCTCAATAGCAAGTGTGTGTGTGTGTGTGTGTGTGTGTATGTATGCGTCTCTAATTGGAAAACTTTGACACCGAGTGAAAAATGTCCCCAAAAGACAATGTTCAGAGTTAAAAAATGGAGCAGGGTGTGTTGTGCATCTCTACGGGTACACAGCTCTTCCAGGAAGTGAATATGGGGGATAGTCTCACAGAATACTAGTACTAGATGTGTAACTCTTTTAACTGCAGTATAAATCTACATCATCTTCTATGACAGATTTTAAGGAGGTTATTGGGTTGTAAGAACAGAAATAAAACTAGGACAATATTTGGAACAATCTGAATCCATAGAATAAAAGAATATAGCCAAACTCTGTTAAAGCAACCACTTGTAAAATGCATGTGCTATGTCATGCCACAAAACAGTAGGTTTACATTTACAAGTTGAATTTGTTAATACCGTGGAGAACTTGAACCCATAGAAGTTGCCTTACCGTGGTCAATGAGCCAGGCCATACACAGGGTGTTGAGCTTCTCGTCAAAGAACTCCACCCCCTGAGAAAACATGGACACATTGTAATCAGATTACTCTCCTGGAAGTCTACTGTCAAATCACATTGCCAATATTTCTTAGTGCCAATTTGAAGACCTTCAAAACATTCTGTGTGAGTTTCGGCTGTGTTCCGAGACCACGCGACTCACCAGCTGTCCTGCCAACAGAGGCATGTACTCTATGATGGCGAGGCGGACCCTCCACTTGGCATCCTCCGCCAGCTCCACAATGGCTGGCAGCAGCGACTGGGAGAGCTGACGGATGCCGATCACCTCGTTCACACAGTCCAGGTTGGAGATGATGTTGAGACGCACCTCGGGGCACTGTGACAGAAAGACGAAGAGCAGCGCGTTAATAAGCACATGGCAGCATGCACTTTAGCACAACGAAGTATTTTGATATTTAACTCCGCATTCCGAGTGCCACTGGAATAACAAACAATGGGTCTAAGAGGAGGTAATTAGGATCTTTGTGGACCTCAGGGAGCTCTTATATTAAAGGAATTACAGGATAACGAACCTGCATACCGTAAGAAGTTGTTTTTACCAATTACAGTCTGATGCATCTTGCAACACGTTACCAATCTATAACTCCTTTATTAGCACACTTGATTATGCTGTCTTTGAATGAAAGGTGGGCATTGCAAGCCTTTCAAAACAATAAAGAAAAATCTAATCGGGTGGCCCTCATCCTTTCCTAGCAGCTCAAAGTATTTGAAGCATCATATTGTACAACTCTAGCAGCGTTTTTTATCTCTCAAGTGTAAATGTATTGTCTACAGCTAAGCTCCTTTAGTCACTGTAAACAAAACACTTCGAAGTAGTTTTGTCAAGAACATTGTAACCCAGGTTTATATACCAGAGGCTTAAATGGAGATACAACAGTAACACTTTGTAATAATTTAGCCAATAAATAAATGGCACGTCTGCAGAACATCCTCCACCGTACTCCCTTTAGACTGTCCTCTGCACCTTGAGTTATTGAAATGTGCAAGTCAACGCTGTCAGTTAGGACATAAATCCAATTAGACACTCTTAGTCTTTGGTTTGTGCTATGAGGAAACGGGGCCATCTTTAAATAGGACGAAGGAACGAAGCAGTGGAAGAAATGAGAGCCGCAAACCTTCCAAAACATTCACATAAATATACGTCTAACCCAGGGGTGTCAAACTCATTTTTACTCCGGGCCACATCAGCATCATAGTTTCCCTCAAAGGGCCGGTTGTAACTGTAAGACTGTATAAATGTAACTACTTCCTAACATATTGTTAAATAACTGTCTCTACATTTGATTATTGTTTATTCAAGTGTAAAAATATTGTACATGCAGTTATATACATGTAAAATTATATTTAAGCACATTTCTGTTATTATAAATAAATAATTTTAATTTAGGGTTAAGAAACCCACATTACTCTATCAAAGATCAAACTTTTAAAGAAAACAACAAAGACAAATATCAAACACAAGTGACTACATTAACTTTGTTCAAAGCTATTTTTGTCACCTCTCTGCATCACTAATGTCCCCACCGTCGTCCCGTGCATGGCAGCTACATACAAGAGCTCCTCACCGAGAGTCAGGTCTTATAAACATGGATAGATGCGCTGTGTCCGTGTTGTCTGTGCCTTCATCAACAGCTAATGAAGAAGACGAGTACCTGCTCGTCTCTTAGCTAGCTGCGTTGTTAGATTGCTGATAGTTCATGAACTCGGTCTGCGATGGTGTTTCTTCACAAACTGACATTTGTAAAAGTCTGTATCTGGTAGGAGCTCACCTGCTCACATACCTTTAGCGTGCACTGGGCTGTAGCTTTTGTAAATATATTCTACTGTGATTGCAGTCTGCCTTTTAATTCTTGGACAATTTGATGTTTTTCTTGGAGGCTAAATTTTGCTCCGTGTTTGGTGTCAAAATGCCGACGTGAATTGTATTCCTTCATCACCGACATAACACAGAAGACAGACCCGTTTTTCTCCTTGAAGCACAAACATGTATTCGCTTTCCCATCTTTCATTACATTTTCATCCCTCTGCATCAATTGTTGTCGTCGTGAACATTTTGGGATTATTTGGATCTTTTTCAACTCAATCACTTGTTGGAAAACCGCTTTACGGGCTGTTGCCTCTCCTGTCCACCTGTTGTGATAGTTTTAATGTTGGTACACAGACAACATGCTATCTCATAATTTCGACCATGGGGATACTTTTATTTTATAACTTTTTCCCCCCAAAATAAAATGTATATATATTTTTTGCTGGTAGATTCGCGGGCCACATAAAATGACGTGGTGGGCCGACCACGCGTGTCTTGAGTTTGACACGTGTGGTCTGACCTGTCAAACTCGTGTCTAATCTCAAAATGCAAATATGGGTCATGGAGATATATTCGCAGGACAGGATGCCATTGGGCCATCGTTGTTCTCGATGAACCGGTTCTTTTAGCTGATGAATGTCATCGTACATTCTTCCTTTAGAATCCAGCCTATTGTAACTTTATGCACTCTCACATAACACATCGCTCCACAAATATGCTTCTGTAACAGCTCTGGGAACAAATCCTTTCAAACGGTACGTCTCATACCGACGGCCACAAAAATAACAAATGCAAACCAGACTCACTAATGAAAAGATATGTCCAATTTAATTACAGAACTATACTAAAATGTGCTAGCATGACGTACTTTAACCACCGACTACCTAGATTAGACACACATACAATCAAAACGCATCTTGCAATATCGTATCTAGTTGCAAGGTGTCCAGCGTTTGTTTACACGTCCCTCTAGACACAGCAACCCCGTCCTCCAACTGTACGGCCTGTCAGCTGCACCCATCCTCCTCCTACCAGCCAGATACACCCGGTGGCTGCAGCTAAGTGGCTTTAACCTCTCGCAGACGCGCTGATCCCCAAAGGCCAAACAAGTTGGTGAAAGTCGGGCGCGTCACATGAAGCTTTTGTTGCAAGTGTTACCAAACTAAGCACTGCCTTAAGGGTTTCAAAAGCCAGGTGTGTAAACTGTCAGAAACTGAGCCCCGGCCATGACGAGTGTGCATTGTCTTTACCTCGTCCTTGAGCTGAGCCAAGAAGAGAGGCAGTAAGTGCTCTATTGTGTTGTCCTTGCCCAGGATGGTGGACAGGCCCATGATGACGGAGGCCAGGGCGGACTTCACATGCTGATTGGTGTCTGAGACGAGTTCCTGGTGAGAGACAGAGAGAGACCAGACAAACAAACTGTTAGGACAAAATGTATGCAATTAAAACATCAGAACTACTGCTGTGGGTCATATTCACAACACACTACAGAGAGGGAGGCTATAATCCACGTGTGTAATATACAATTTCAATATTATTAACGCTTACGTTGGAATATTTCTAGGCATTATGTTCATGGCACCGTGTCCTAACATATTTCAAAGATAACTGATCAAACCAATATCATACAGAGCTTCAAGTAAAAATAAATAAGTACTTAAGAATTGTATGACTGTTCAGCTTTGTTTCAAACTTGATACGTTAACAGGATCAGCAAAACCAGCCCTTGTGAAACTGATCTGTACTTTTTGTATGAAATAGTTTATAGATCCAGGAATGTCACTGCCACTTCCATTAGTGAATAAAAAAAAAAATCAATTCTGTAAGATTTGTTAATCAGCAGCACTACAACTGAACTAGTGTTGGACAAACAACAGTGCCACCTGGTGTTCAAAATCGGACAACTACCGGCACACAGACACCATGTCTTACTCACTGTCTACCATTAATAGCCCTTTGTGGTCAGGGTGCTGTTAGGGGGCATCTTAATGGCTCAGGAGGTAGAGCAGGACGTCCACTAATTGGATGATGAATCCCTCGCTCCTCTACTGTGCATGTGGAAGTGTTCGTGGGCATGAGACAAAACCCCCAATTGCTCTGGAAGGCTGTGCCATCGGTGTGTGAACGTGCATTAGATTAGATCCTGACAGGCAGGTTGGCACCCTCTGACATTAGTGCGTGAGCGTTGACATGTAGTGGAGTTTGAGTGGTCGGAGGACTAGAAAATGGCTTTATAACTATTTACAATTACCATCTTTAGATATCTAAAAGTCTGCTGTCTCTACAGGTTATAGTCAGATCATCCCTCCTTTTTATTTTATTCATTTTCTGTGTATGTGAATGCTGTCTACTTGTGATATACTTTACGCTGATCAAGAACATCAAAGCAAGCACACAGTTAATGAGTGTCGCGCTGTGGAAACATCTGCCAAATAGTTTGCCAATATGTCGTTTCATCCGAGATCTTATTCAAGCATTTTGGTTCTTATTTTGTTAGATTAAATCTCACGCATCAACTGCTGAGATCTGAGCAAATGAAGCGAAGGAAAGCAAAGTACAGTTCGTTAAAGAAACCAGTTTTACCACCGCTGGAAGATCAAACCTAACAAATCAAAACTGTGTTATAAATGTGCATCACATAGCAGCTTTTTGCCTGAACCTACTGTACTTAACCATGAGCACACTATTCTATGCAACTGGCAAATTGTATAATAGACATTTTTAGTATCTTTATGAGTGGTTCGTGTAATGCTGTTAAAACGTTTTGACAACTTTTGCTGCTCATCAGCAATTGAGTCGTCACAACACCACATGCCAACTATAAAAAGATAAGCCTCGAGTCCTTTATCCATGCTTAATAAAACATAGCAACTCAAAGTGGTTTTTGATCGACTGAGAGGTGCAGCAGCAGAGAAATGTCACAGGGTGGCAGACAGAACAGTGTATTTCTTACCTTGACACAGGGCAGAATGTGAGTCATGATGATTTGCTCACGATTGTCCTCTGGGAGGTTCTCACAGAACTCTAAAAAGAAGAAGAACACCATCAATAAAAATATGGAACCGACTGGACAAGACACGAAAACAAGTTTAACATGCAATTTTCATTGAGTCTCTCTTCAGAAGGCAAATCAATTTTGAACAAATGAGATCCACTCTCGCTCTTTGACATCGTTTTGCCTTCATACTCTGGTATTGAGGCTTTATTACTGTGTGTGTTCATGTACTCACCTTTGACTTTGTTGGCGGCAGCAGCTCGGACCTCAGCTTCACAGTCCTTCAAAAGATTCTGGAAGGCCGGGACCAGATCATTCTTGGTGATCTCTGGCCCGACTGCTTTCTGGAGCTACATTTGGAGAGAAATATATACGTGTCAACAGCCAAATAAGCATGTGGGGAAAACATCAATAGAAAAAATAAACATGGATGAATTTCAGTGGAGGATCAAGAATAAAAGGTGGGCAATTAAAGCTTTGTAACAGGCGACATACTAACTATGATGATACTCAAAGTTCAGTCTGTCATTGAATTGGTAAATTGTCTCCAACAAGAAGCTTACTTACATGCAGATTAATCTGCCATTAACCCCGTCACTGCCCCACATGCCAAAGTCCTGAACGCAGTGCAACAGCCCGGTTCAGCACTGAGTAGAGCCGGACCGATTAACCGGCTGCCGATTGTAACCGCACAGTTTTCAGCTGATCGGCCACGACTGGTCTCATATTTTACACATATGTGCCCCATGGCTAAGATATTGTACGTCGCACACGGCGGTACAAACAGCAAAGTCACAGCCAGAGACACATTTGTGTGGAATTTCTCCAGCGTGAGTATAGACAAAGCTCAGTTTAACACAACTGCACGTCTAATAAAAAGGCACAAGAGAGAGAGGGGCACTCAGAGCAGACAGCTTGTCAAGTGAACAGTGTACATTTGTGAATAAAACACTGCAGGTGTGCATGTTCATATTTCTAAGGGGATGCACCCTCGGCTTAACAAAGATTAATTAATTAAAAAACACTTTAGTTGAAGAATCCTGAATGACAAATTGTTGAAAATAGCACAACTATATCGTTGAATTAAAGCAGTCCTCAATTATTTGTCTCTAACGTAGCTTAACCGTGTCATACGTTGTAATGAAAGTGGCTGTGACATCTCACATGTAGCCTTGACTTACAACTGAACATTCAACCAACAATGGTAGAAAATACAAACATATTTACCGCATATTTGCTAGTCTGCCTAAAAATGCAGAGATGTGATTTTTGGCCCTACATCAGACATGAAAGCGACAAACCAACGTTCCTCCCAGTCATGGACCCAACAGTTGGCTTAACAAAATTGACCATAACATAAAAAAAAAAAATGATATTAACCTACAAAGATCAGAAACAAAATGGAAAACATTTTACTGAAATGAGTTAAATTGGACTCACTGAAGTTTCATTTCAGTGCTGTCCAGCCAGAGGGATGGCCATTAAGAGGACTTCTAACCACCTCTGTGTGTGTGTTTTTATTGCTTCATTCTAGTTTTCCTAAAAGTTCAATTAAATATATACTTTTATCCCTTTTAAAATTGCAAAAAAAACAAAAACAAAAAAAAGCTACTACCTACCAGTTTTTAACCAATAATGTTATGACAACCATCTGCAGCTTTGAGCAACAAAGGAGGTGTGTGTGTGTGTGTGTGTGTGTGGGGAGCCTCAGGATGGGACGACATAGGACTTTATCTTGGAATGCAATAAAAAACACACCATAAGTTGATGGTGGTGAATTTTAGTAATCGGGATAACCGCTTTTCCCAGCATTGCACATGATCACAGAGGAATGGGAACCAGTAAGCATAACGCTGTCACTGTGCACCAGTGAATGCATGTAATCTCTATTCATAAGAGTACACATGTAAATTCACACATTATTGATTAAGCAATTGGTACCAAATTAATGTAAATGTCTTGGTTTCTCCCACTTGTGCACCCTATGTCTTTATTGCTCTATGAAAAAACAAATATGTTCCATTCAGCAATAATATTACTGAAGAGAACATGCACAACAGCAAAACCACACAAATGTAAATTAAGAAAAAAGTCACATTTGCCAATGCAGAAGTACCAGCACTCTGGAAGTACTTGTTACAGCTTGACTCTGAATCCAACATCATGGAAGAGTCAAACTGGGGCAACACTGGGCTACAATGCACTTGTTTCTCAATAGAAATGTTCGGCAAATTCTACATTTAACCAAGATGCCAGTAACGGGAGGAAAAATTTGAAAAGAAAGTCTGCTACTAACCTCAGAGAACTTGTCGGCCACCATGTAGCGGACCCTCCAGGATTTATCTTCTGCAGCCTGGCGCAGTGTTGGCATCACCAGGGACTCCAGGTCCTCCTGAGGCAGCAGAGTGGCAATGCTGACACAAGCCTCCACAGCAAGCAGCCGCACTGAGTCCTGATGGAGAAAGGTAACATGATCAATTTGGCTATTCCTGGGATTAACTGCCGGGTGGGGGGGATGCAGAACACAGAGTACAAAAGCAGTTTAAACTGAGAAGGAGGAAGACAACTGCTCGTACCTGCTCATCAGAGGCCAAAGCAGTGAAGAGGGAAATTATGTCACTTTTTACGTAATCCAGCTCCAGGACTTTGGCGAACTCCCCCAGTTTAGATGCTGCAGCACGACGCACCATCGGAGTGTCATCGGAGCACAAGGTGCGAAAATGCCTGGAGATAACCACAGACATTTCATCAGAGAACACCGACTAAACAAACCTGTTGAGAAGCCGAAAACAATCACGTCAGGTATTGAATTACTTACTGGCGGATCTCTGCTTTGACGGTGCTGGAGACACGAGGATAGCAGACGCTAAAGAGACCACAGGCAGATGTGCGAGAAGTGAACCAGTCGCCACTGGCCAGCCGCTTGACCAAAGGCTCAAAGTGGACCTCCAGGTCAACTGGAGAATGCTCCTGAGAGATCTTGCGCAGGGACTCAACAGCTTTATCTCTGACGACGGTCTCCTCAACGGTAGCTAGGCTCTCCAGAGGAGGCTGTGTATCAAGAAGGAAGAAGACGAGATAGGGTTAATGTGCAACTATTCACAGATACAACACATTTAGACTTCAGTTTTTATGAATTCCTCATAAAAACAACCAAAAAATAAATTCTCCGATGACTTACCAAGAGACAGTGGACATACTCTGGCCCTCCCACCAACATAGTGAAATTGCCAAGCTGCTCAGCCAAGGCCAAGAGCACCTCATCTTCATCATAGATGGTGTCTAAGGGAAGAGGAAGAGTCATTACAAATCTGTGCACATATATATGTATGAAGTTGTAATACAATGACTGATTCGACAGCTAGCAGTTATATAAAGTACCACACATTCAGCATTTTTCCACGTGACAACATTAAAATAATAATCCTGGTGAGATGATTCACTTTATTACCTGTGAGGAAAGGAAGGAGTTCAGTGCGAGTCCTCTCAACACCAAGTGCCAAGGCAATAGTAGACAGCTTCTTGATGCTGTTCAGTCGTAACTGCAATAAGCATTCACAAGTGTAAGCACGTTCAATAAACGGTGTCAATGATTGTTAGACTTCACAGTACTCAGCTAACCCAGGTAGGAATTAGTAAAAAGGCATTTGATGTTAACGTTATAATCTTGGCTACAGTCCGCTTCTTCGCAACCAGTAATGTAAAACGTAACGTTGACATTATTCAGCGTTTCTAAAGAAAGCTGAACCGAAATGATAGTTTTACGGTTGCAATAATTGATAAACAGGCCAATAACAGTGAACCCACTGCGGCCTGTAACGCCCTGCTGTTGTGATTGCTAACTCGAATCTGTTAGCTAGCATTCTGTTAGACGATGAAACCAATGGTTAGCTTGTGTTACCAACTGACGTCAATTGCACAGCTTTAACATTTTAGTTGATAGAACTACGCGGCGAAAAACACAAACGATTAAAAGTTAACGTCTTAAATAATGACAGCAAATCAACTATATTGGCAGAACATATCCGATAGGCCTTGGTCGGGAACGTTAGCTTGCGTATGTGCTAGTTAGCTTAGAGTTAGCTGGTAATCAGATGCTCGACTAAAATAACGTCACGTAAAAATGTTTTTACAGAACATTATAAACGACGATTCAAGTGTTATTAACGTACCTGGACATCCTCATTTCGCAGTTCGTCAATGAGAACGGCGATAGGGTAGAGAGAGTCGTCTCCATCAGCTCCTGCCATTTTGGATATTGTTGCAGTTACCGAATGGCGCTGCTGTGTTGCACTACGGGGTTTCTGCGTGAGAAGGCAGGGCCTACCTATGCTTCTGCTGCTGCTGCCTTCAAGAAACCACCGAGAAAATCCGCAAAGTAACAACTTCAGGTCAAGCGAATAAAAACCACAAAAGACAAAATGAAATACTACATGAAAAAAAACAAAAAAACTTCAACATGCAAAACGTCCAAGAATGGTAGAACCACCGAATTGTGTAATATATAAAGTACAGCAGTACAGCAATAGTTACAGCAGTAAACGTATCACATTGTCTATTTATAGCCAAAGTACTGAATTTAGAATTATAGTTTATTTACAGTTTACAGGAAAAGTAGGGCCACACCGGAAAAGCACCACCTCACAATGATTCAACATAAACACATGTATTTGTAACCAATGTCATGAATATTTATAATTGATAAAATGCAAAAAAAAATATTATTAAATTTAGTATACTATAGTATATAGTGTACAGTGTATATAATCGATTGGATGTAATTACAATACATGATTCCAACATGCAACACATAGAAACTGTATAACGTTAAATAAAGAAACAAACAAATAAACTAAACTGGAATAAATTACACATGATGCCAATATAGAGGCAAAGTAGTATTCCAAAGAAACAAAGTATTTGTGGTAATGGCGTAGGTAGCGGTGTGTACTGGCACGAGTAGACTGGCCCTTGCACCCATTTTCATAGGTTGAAACATAGTTACAGAAACGCTTTTATTTTGAAAAACGACAAACCGGATATTTAACTCATCTTCCGGATTCTACGCAGTGGCCGGTCAAGATGGCGTCTCAGCAGCAGCAGCAGCAGCAGCCCGGCGGGCCGATGTCTCAGCCCGGATTACAGGCTACTGCATTACAACAACAACAGCAGCAATTGAGCCAACAGCAAGACTTTGATCCAGTACATAAATTCAAGATGCTTATTCCACAGTTGAAAGAGAGTCTGCAGGTAAGTGTGCCCAAAAGCATCTGATCACAACAGCTAAAGTTGGTTTAACGAGTTCACATAACGCATGAAGATCTGCCGCAATATGCCTAAAAACATACCGCTTTATTTTTCACTTTCAGAATCTCATGAAGATTGCATCCCTGAATTTGGCCCATAACACCACGATTGACAACGGCACGTAAGTTGGCTGGTTTGCGCGGAACGTTTACGTTAAAACAATGATCACTGAAGGAAGATGTGTCTGATCTTTTTGTTTCTTCTGGTTTAGCAAAAGCAGCGACACATCTGTTCAGCGCTTTGACAAGAGCCTGGAGGAGTTTTATGCCCTCTGCGATCAACTGGAGCTGTGTTTGGTGAGACGTCAACACAACGCATACTCACAACCGAAATGTTGTTGGCGTTGAAAATGCATAAAGCTCAAGCCTGTTAAAGCCATATCACTTTAACATCACCATAAGACACTGCCAACTCACCTCACAAGGACCATTGGAAAACCACACTGTGCCTACTGCATTAAGATAAGATTGGACATAAGGGAGAGTTTAATTAACTGTAGTCTGAATCAAGTTTTCCTGTCCCATAGTCTTGATTGAGAGGCTTTTTCAGCCCAGGTGGCTGTCTGTGTGTACCACACACTACGTCTACTGTATCCACACTTATATACCACACAAACTCACGTTGTGTCTCCTCTGTGCAGCGGCTGGCGTACGAGTGCCTCTCCCAGAGCATCGACAGCGCCAAACATTCACCCAACCTGGTCCCGACCGCCACCAAGCCGGACACGGTGCAGACAGAGTCCATGTCCTACACCCAATACCTCGGCATGATCAAGTCTCAGATCTCCTGCGCCAAAGATATCCACAACGCTTTGCTGGAGTGCTCCAAGAAGATCTCAGGGAAGGGGCCGCCTCAGGGAATCATGTAGACCTGAATGAACTACCCCAACTCTTTCTACATCTGGTGACATTTTTGAGAAGGATGATGGATGAGCTCTTCTCATATTCAGATCCAAGTTTTGGTCAAGATGCTGTTTCATTTCTCAAGATCCTGTATATTTGGTTATGATTTTTATTTTTTTTTTGTTGAAGTTAAGTCTCTTGTAAATATTCCAGATAAAGTCATGTTCTAAGACGACCAGAAGGTGGTGGCAGAGTGTAACTGCCGACTCAATATTCACAAGTCTTTTGTAGCTTATTTGTATTGAATAATAAAAACCTTTTAACTGCTTCTTATGTTGAAAAAAAAGAGTATATGTGTTAAACTACACAGGTCAATTACTACACAGTTCAGTTTTCCATTTAATTTGTTTGTCCGCAGCGGACAAATAAGTTAAAAAAAACTTAACGCTGGAAGTAGTCGAAGGGAAGAACATGTTAGACTTGAAATTTACAGAGGCAGGAGAATGAAGTATCTTTCCAATAAAGTCGGTCACATGCATTGAGTAATGGCTGCACTCTTTGTCCTCGGAGGATCTTGTAAAAGAAGTATCTGTTTTAACTCATATTGAAGCAGCAGTGTTGATATAGTGGGGCAACAAAATAGCAGCCATGGGGATTTAAAGAATATACTTGTTAAGAAAGTGCAATCCGTTTCAAGGATTCATACATCTATAAGTGCCTTTACCAGTTTGCATGATTCCTTTTCAGTGTGCTCCCTCCTGTCACATGACGCATCAGAGAGGCATAAGCTTGACCCATATACAGTCTATTGTTGAACACCCTAAGAAGTTTTCTTGAATGAGCCACCTTCCATGTTAGATTAACATACTAAGAAGACAGGAAACTGAGGATTCAGGTTACACTTGGACCCTTCTTCAGCTGTATATTGTTCCCTTCCTATCTGTATGTTGAAGCTAAAGGCTTAATGAAGTCTGATACACAGGCACGTGAGAGGGGAGCCTGGTGGGATTGCAGCTGTGTAACATCTCAGATCAATCTGAGGTACTGACAAGTTCTTAGATCCAAAAATAGTACTGCGGGTCACTACCAAACACAAAACACACACACGCGCTCCCACAGACCCTCTGCAGGCATACCGTTACATACAGAGTTGTTACATTGAAACTAACTTCAACACAGAACTGTTTTGGGACTGTTAAAATACAAAATGAAAACAGAAAAACACTGGAAGTCTTTCTTACATTTCTTATTGATAGAAAAAAAAGAAGAAAAACCCAAAAGATTCATCTTTATATTTTTATTTTCAGACCATGATCTGTGTTGACACAACTTATTTTTTAAAGCTTGAAAAAATATACAATAACAAAATTAGAATTATTGAGAATAATCCCGACTTTGTCAAGATATCGCGCTATGCAGCACAAAGCATCAGATGAAAAACAAGAGAAACCAAAGGAACATATAAAAAGGGAAAAGTATTATTTTTCTTTTTACAAAGATTACAGCAGATAAAATACATATATTTAGAGCACCAGGTACGAGACAATATAATTACAAAAAGACAATTGAGACATTGTCTAAGTGCATTAGTGGATTTGAAACAGTCAATAAGTCACTAAATTGTGTGCCCTGTTGCATTATACAAATCTGATGCCAAATCATATAAATGAAGTGCTCTTAGACTGTGAATGTGTTGTGCTATAAGTAATGCCTACCACCACTACATCCAGAGAAATACCAATGACCCTTTTAGTTTCCTGGTCGCAGTGAGAGATTAAGGTTTGTAACTTTATTGTGATGTTCTATAAGCATATAAGATAATTAATACAGGTCAAGAGTTACACTGCTGGTTTGCACGCTCTACAGCCAACACACTACAGATTCTTCATTCTTTCTCTTAATGTTTTCGAACTCAAGCGTGAGCTGTGCTAAGATTCAACACATTAACAGTCAGATGGAAGGAGTCATTTGACCCATGAAAAAAACAGAAAACGTTCACTGTAACGGGGCAGCCATCGACAGCGAGGTTCAATTCCTATTGTTTAGTATGCTTTGGAAAATGGGCAGCAGAAATGTAAAACGTATAGTCTTATATATGTTCCAAAATCTGGGTCAGTGCCTTCTGATTCTGTCCATATGATGACAGGTTGTGTGTGTGCGCGAGGGGGTACAGAGCACCCGAGTGTACTGCATGATTCTTGAAAGACTTTAATAAGCACACAAACAGCTGTTTCACTGCTTTGTCGAGCCTGAGCCTTTCGTGTTGCTTTCACCCTCAGTCTTGCCCTTTGATTGGTCACTGTGGGAAATACAAAATAATCACAGTTGTATGGTAAATGGTAAATGAACTGCAGTATCATAACATGATAACAATATACTAAACAAAGCATACTGTGTGTATTTGCCACCAGCGTCTCCAACCTGTTTGTCATTTGATCCTGAACTGCAGATTCTGGCCTGTCTTCAACACCACATGTGGTCTGAGAGTGTAATACTGACCTGTCCTCCTGCTCAGAACCGGTGAGGGCTGCGCGGTGAACACCACAGGGTAGGGGTTCATCCAGACGAAACATTGGGCCAGGTGGTGGAACCTTGGACACCTCCTGCTGCCACTCATCGTCAAAAGACTGTGCTTCAGCTGGGGGCAGAGGATCAGGATCATGTTAGGGAATGTTCTGTCTGTGGACTCGCGGCCTAGAAATACGCAGACAGCGGCACCGACAGTGGAATAATGTTGTGCTTAACTGGCCGGTCGACTGAACAAGTTCACTGACTTTATCAAAACACGTAAAAATGTATGATCCACATATTTACTGTTTAACTGACGTTATAATGTTGTTTTGGTTTTGTGATATTGTTAAAAATCGTACTTAACTCAATGACACAATTAGAAGGATCACTGTAGCTCCTCCATACAGTTTTTGAGTGGTGCAACACATATGGCCGTACCCTCCACATTTATAGAACAACCATGCGTAGCTACTGCAACAACTCCATAACAAAGCAGAATCCAGGTTTGAGAGCAGACCATCACTTTAACATACATTCATCTATATTCTGAAAGTCCTGGTTGAACTCCTTCTGTCCTGTTTTCTTGTTGTATTTCTTCTCAACAACGTGTCCCCTGTCCTGGATGTGGTGAGCAATGGACATCTTCTCCAGACCACTCTCAGAGTCTTTAACTGCTTGCCGGGTCTCCTTGATCTGGTGATAAAACCCATCAGACACATCAGTTGGTCCATTAAAAAATGAATTAATTCGAGCCATTGACATATTTATTTCCTTTACTCCTGACATAAAAGAGCCATTAGTAGTAATGGCTGCATCCCATTTAGGAGTACCTGTTCGAGGGCCCTGGTATTGTGTGTAGGATAACTTAGGGCCTGTGTCCACATAGCGCCCTTTTCAGGCAGAAAAGCGGCCGCAGGTCGCTGGGTAGCTCTTCAACACAAGGCGTACCGTAATAAAAGACTCACCAGCAACATTCAGTGTGTGTCCGGCGGATCTGCTTCCACAAATCGGCGTTTCGATCTTTGTTATGATAATATTTGTCCAAAATGTAAAGTTTAGGTGAGACAGACACGGCTAAAACAAACGTCTCCTCCATTTACTACACTGACATCAGCAGGGCTTTTCTGAAAAGTTCAGAGATTTTCCACTTGAAGCGCTCTCTCCTCATTGGGAACAATTGAAAAAAAAAAAAAAAAAAAAAAAGACGGTGGCGCTATGTGGACACATGTGGAGATGATTTCTGGCTCACATTAATGGAACAGAGCCATCATATGCCGCTGTGAGAAAAGTTTGCTTGCGCTAATGTTCTTGCAAAGAGAGGCCATGGTGAAGTTGTCACCATGGTCACTTATCTACAGACACATATACTTCTGTGAGCTCAATGTACTGAACTGTATTCTAATGTACTGTGATTTATGATGTAGGAACACATCTGATGGAGTGCTTACCCCTCCAGGGGCCCGGTGTGTCGATGAGCTCGCCTGGAAGACCTTGGGAGGCTCATTTCCAACCTTTGAATATGTCATGACCGATGACGAGCTGAATGAGTAAGCGTTAGAATCTGTGGACGTGTTCTCCTGAAACACACAAACACTTGCTGTTAAGCAGCTACACAGTTTATGTACCACAACAGTCTGAGAAAGCAGCAAAACACAAGGAGGAGAACACAAAAATCATTTAACTCACAGAGTTTCTGTGCATCTCCTGCATCCTGTTTTTCATGCTGGACATCATGTTGTCGAACATGCCGAAAGGGTTCCGAGTCATTTCCTGCACCAACACGAAGGGGAAAGAACAGCCAAAGGTCAGAGGAGTCGAATAGTCGGGCGCGCATGCCGCAAGGTCGCTAGGCATTATCAGCTCATAAACGATTCCATCATGTATACTAACATACGAGCACAGAGTACAGTGAGCTAAATGTGGCTAACATGTGTTCCATCTGGGACACTGCAACCAGAACGTTCACATTTTATCACCTTGCCATTTGTGACATGGATTAATAACAGTCATTGCGAAACTACTAGTCAAGTCCAGCATGCAAGTATGTCTTTATTTAGTTTTTTTTTCTTTCTGTATGGATAATTCAAAGGTTGCCAACATGCTCCAATTCTGTGCTGCTTTTACCAAAAACATACCATGTTTTCAATAATAACACTTGATTCAATTTTACTTGACTGCAAGTTAAAGGTTGGCTTTATTGCAGGACATTCAACAGCATTCTTGCTTGTAATATTTGTTAACAGCCATGTAAAGTGATTTATTTAAATAAAAAACACAATTTAAACACTGTCTTCATTATATAAATGCAAAGCACCCCATATAACTGGTTTCTGTAGGTCACAGTTGAGGTACCACCTTTGCCTCAAGTCTCAAGACTTTGACTCAAGTCAGTCAAGCATGTCGCAGTAAGATGCCATCATTCACCATGCGTACACAATGCAGCCACAAAAACTGACAGATGTTGTAATTCAGGACAGCACATATAAGATTTGACAAACCTCAGAAAGCAACTCACTGGTCCTTCCCTATACTGGTGCTTTTTGGAGTTAGTTAATTTGTAATGCACATTTAAAATATTCCCCAAATTCTTCAAATGATTTGTTATTATTATTGTAAATGTATATCAGTATAACGTAATATAACTTTGTTTCACAGTGAAACTTGATGCCTCATTATACTGTATATGGAACAGACATTTTGCTTGTAATGCTGTTTTTGCCCATGAACCTGTACAAAAAAAGGAATCCTGATATTGGGTAAAGATTAGCCAATATATAAGTAACTTTACTTACCACTTTACACAGTGTTCGTGGAGAGATGAAATTTAGTATTTACTACATTATTTAGCATTTTGCAGATAGTATTTTATCCTTCCTAGATAGGACATGTACCAGTGCACTGTTACAGCCTGTACATACTGAGGGTGAAGTGGTGGTGCCCTCAAAGAGTACAGGTAGGAAGCAAGCAACGGGTTCAGGTTTAACCATACTGTACCTGAGTCAATATGATGATTCTAAATAACTCAGTCTTGTGTACATGGATTGGCGTGATGGCTTAGATTAGATTTAATGTAGAGGAATACATTGTGACCCTTTTACTGACCACTTCTAGTCAAGTTATAAAGTCAGAGCATGAACTTTGAAACTATTTAAAAGAGAAACTCATACGATAATGCCGTGGAACAGCAGAAGAACCTACTGACCGTGCTGTCAAAGGGCAGCAATGACCGGCTCATATCCTGAGGATTCAAACAATATCAGTGTAGCAACACAGCACATATTGTATTTGTATAGCATGTTACACACACGTACACACACATAAATCTCGCCTTTTGGCAATTTGTTGAGGTTGTTGCCAGTAAGCTGTTAGTTTGTCTTACATCAGTCACTAAGCCCATGACACAGCTACACGGAGCTCTCCCCACGGCCTTAAGCACAACCCCTCAAGGCCATGAACCTTCTGGGAGTGAAGAGGGAGCGGTCCGCAGCCGTCAGTCAGACCCCGTGTTCTCTGGTCCAAAACCGCAGGTGTTTATGACCCTGCGGCCTCGGATAAGCATCTCAACAGCCGTCGCTATGCGGGTGTGTGTATTTTCTCGGGATGTGATGCACAGGGGTATTGTGCGCAATCAGTGGGGTGTTGAATGACTTGTGTTCCATGCGTAATTGGGTCGCATTGCCAGAGATTAGCATGGGTTTAACACTGAAACTGAGCTTCATTCTAGGAAGGCTGGGTGGACCAGCCAGAACAGGGATCTAGCAGGGGTCAGAGAGTCCGAGGCTGCTCTCTCAGCTCTTTTCAAATGTCAAGCTGATGTAAAACGCTCCTGACCGGTATCTATGAAGCCTCGCAGCCAATTTTATCCCAGAGTGGCATCTATGAACTAATAAATGCCAGTTACATATCTACCAGCATTATATTTAGCCCGGGGGTTGAGCATAGGAGAGATTGAGGGTGCACGACAAGGAATGTAGACCCAGTGGTCTTTAACACATTATTTTGAGCTGTCTGGACTACTGCTGATTGACATTCTCTGTATCTCTCTCTCTCTCAATAGGATATTGAACTGCCACTGTGCCCTCTGAGGCAGGCCGCTCCTGGGGGAGCTATGAGTTACACCATAGGGGACATGTGCTGTGGATATGATTCATACTTAAAAGTAAAAGCGAGAGTTGTGCTGCAAATGCATTGCTCCCATGAAGTGCTGCATCATCACCAGGAAAGTTAAAGGCATTATGTTAAATGTATGCTGAAAGTACCAGAAGAGCAAAGAGAAGGAGGCACTGAATCCCATTGTGGTGGTGTAGCAACTGCTTCATTTCACATTGCCACACATTTTAATTTTAAGAGCAAAATCTTGCATGAGGGCATAATCATACTCCCCTGCAGTCATAAACCATAGAATCAAAGAAACTACATCTCGCTTATAATTCAGCAGTGCTTTTATGAACAAGTGCCCTGATGAATGAGTGCCTTAAAGGGTGATAGGAACCAGGTAGTGGGTGTTGGCAAGAAACTGGGAAATATGAGAACTCATAGCAGCCTTGGAAGGTAAGATGGAGCTTATTTTCTCATTGGGAATCTAAGGGTCAACAAGTTCATACAAGAAGTACAAGCCTTCCAACATTATGCGACCAATGTGTGTGTGCAGCTCTGTGTTCTTTTGCATGCTGTGACTGTGTGTAACCGAGCTTGTGTTTTAATACTGTATGTGTGTGTGTGTGTGTGTGTGTTTATGTATGTGTGGCGGGCACATTTGTGCCTGCGATATTGGAGAGCAGTATGAGCGTGAGCTGTCTGTCATCTAGCCGCTTATTGCACCAGCACTGCCAAGGCACGTTCTGCCAAACAGATGGACCAAAAGAGCAACAAGGAGAAAACAGAGTGTCCATGACATCCGTACACATGCCTTTCCAAAGCCAACAAACACAGCACCAGAGCGTCAGCCCTCTGACCACGGCTGGGCACCACTCGACTGCTCCTCGTCTTCAGATAAATGACTGTGTGTGGGAGTTAGAGTGCAGAGTTGTGTGAGAAACACTGTGAATTCTTATGGTAATTTAGTTAACCTTAATTGTATGTATCTTACCAAGAGAGCAGGTATTCTGTTTATTGTTTGTGACAAGCAGCTAGGGATCGGGATCCGCTATAGATATAAACCACAAAGATCTCACATCTGCATCTCCTGTACAAATGTCTGTGTATGAATCAAGAGAAAAAGATCACGTTTCACATGATCCTTCTCCATATCATAGAGAGACCTCACTAATTATTATTCTATCGCCACAACTCAGCAGAACCCTAACTCCTCATATCTTAAAGTTCTCTTTAAAAAAGAAAATAAAACGATATCAAGTCAGACAACATGTGAGACAGACACAAAACAGTATATTACTCCTAATATTATATTAAGTCATTTGTTTGGACTGACATTTTGCAGTGTAGCTCCATTTCACCCACTGTCACTGAGGTCATTAGTCAAGAACTCATTGCTCCTCCTCAGCTGGCTAGCTGGCTAGCTAGTTAACGGCATGATTCTAATAAAGAGAAAGCAGGCTGCTGGCTATTGAGGCCAGGCTTCTGATGAAAGTCATTACCAAGGATAAATATACAGGCTCTCATGAGATTGTGGGATTAAAGCAGGTGACGGGGACTAAGTTTGACATAGCAGGGCCCCTGTAGTACAGGGGCTGATTTGGGAAAGGTGAACGGGTGCAAAACATGGCAGACCAAAACTATCTCCCTGCCTTCCTGCCTTTGCATTACTATGCTGCACAAATAACATCGACATGTTCTGGAGCAAACAATTATTGAAAATGTTTATTATTACAAATACCGAATGCCCACAGCATTTGAAACATTATACCGTATCTAATAAAACAGAAGTAGTTGTATTTGGAGATAAATTAGATGTCAAGTTAACGTGACAACTGGGCTGAATGATATCAAAATAAACTGTTATTTTCAGCAGCATCTCAGCAGAGCAAAAGCAGAATTCTCTGGGGTCCTATTGGTTTGAGAGTTAAAGAAGTCTGTGTGTGTATTCACAAGTAAATAGTGTGTCAGTGGAACAATGCACTATAAATAGGGCTCCTCAGAGCTCGATATAACTGTCCAGAGAGGCCAAGGGGGTTGCCCTTCTACTAAACCAACAACTCACATGGCCCCATACCTTAGTGAGTGGGGCTCCAGTTACACTGTGAGTGGCCAGCTTCCACTATAACCTTAGTAAACTTAGCACTTCCTCCAAACACTAGCCTTCTGTGGTTATACGCCTATGAGCAGTGGAGAGGGTCATAAGGCCTAATTGTATAAGCAAAATGCTGAAGTAGGGCCTTCATCCTTCGTCCCACTTAGACCCAAATGATACGTATGTAGGTTTGTCAGCAGATGATGGAATACACTGGGTAGAGCTTTATTTCTTATCACTTAAGTCCACAATTAGACAAACCACTCATGACTGTAAGAGGAGTGCTTTTTGAAATGCATGTTCTCACCCTGTGTTCGCCCCTCAGTGCCAGGGACGAGCTTGGATGTTCCGACATGTCCCGACCACAGTTTCTCCCGTCCATTATGCTGGGCACCGTGGGTCCACCGTATGGCTCGGAGAAGCTGCGCATCATCTGCCGCATATGTTCCCTGTGAGCCCGCATTGGATCCCTAAGACAGAGACAGAGGAAGTAAAGACAAAGTCAATCTCAACATCCACTTCTAAGCAAATCTCCATGATGATAATTTAAGGGACCGCAAAAACCATGATAACGGTTCCTGGAGAGGAAAATTAAAATGCCTCTGCACCAGACACAGGACTCGATGTAAATCCGTTACCACCCTGGAGTTTATTCAAGATATATTCTTGAATAAACACAATCAATTGAAATGAGAGGCACCCCTAAGGACTTGGAAGTCAGGTCAAGTGTGGCCACACTAACTCAGCAGGTGTTCACTAATGCAATAAGTCCAAGTGACTGTAGCACACAGTCTGTTTATTAAAATAACATTATTAGTAGATTATTAGTGGTATTATCCATCACTTTCTCTAAATTGCACTGGAAATTCTGTCACTGAAAACTTTTATTCCTTAAATGATACAAACATGAAACTACATGTTTAGCAGCCTATATGGATGGAAACTACGTGGTAAGATATCTTGCAATTTTATTTACCTTTTAATTAAGCTTATTTAAAAAAAAATACAAGGTAACATAAGAAACAGTGTCAGTCCAGCAGTCGTTGCTTTGTAACCGTTTCCTTTAAGTGCAACAGAAATGGCTAATGTTGAAATTCTGTTAACAAGCTGTTCATCTGTGCAGGCAGACATATTTCAATATTTTATGAATTACAAAACATGAACCATTAAGTTTAGAAAACATTTCAACAATAACAGTTGGGCTATTATAGATTAAATTCGATAATTGAACTATAACGTTACTCACGAGAAGAACGGATCCTCATCAAACTCGCCGCGATTACTGTTGAACATTTCCACGGATTTTGCGGCTGTAAACAAAATATGAGATTTGAGATTTTCATAAAAAGTAATCCGTTCGTGCCACAGGTGTCCCAGCAGCACACGAACACACACACCGCTCAGCCTCGGTAATGTCACCATGGAGGAGGTGGCAATATGATTTGGAACCAAACTCACTGTGACACCAGCCACGTGACGCGAACCCGGCCGTCGGATTGGCTGGTTATTCGGAGCTTTGAACAGGTTCAATCCGCGCGCTGTGCGTTTATGTTGTGTGTGGCTGCAAACAGGCTGCATAACCTCTATGCTGCAAGTTATGCCAATTTAAAACGACAGAAATATCAATGGCTTTTATTGTGAAGGAGAAATCCCACGAGGCAGCTCTGTATTTGGTTTCTAAAGTGATTCTTGGTTCGGTTATTGTAGTCAGTGTGTGAAGGCAATTTTTTGGGACAGCCACTGTGAGGAGGGCATCCACATTCGTACATTCCGATTTATTTTTTTCATTACAACACTATTTGGAGGGTGCTGGAGTGACACACCGTGTCCCAGACTCAGTATAGATTTACCATCTGGCTGTTCCACAAATAGACTCCACACTGCCTTGAATCCCCCTCAAACAGGGACACAACATTGAGCAAACATAAACCTTTGACTATTATATATATTTAAGAGAGAAAAGTTTAGGGCAGGTGAGAAGACATTTAGTCCAGTCCAGTCAATCCTGATGCAGACCAAATAGATAAGGTGACCTAAGAGTGAGTCAGACTACTTTAAAGTGCCTGGAGGACAGGGTGACTCATGTATCTATATCTATCAGTAGATACTGCTATTTTACTTTAAAGAGTGTCAGAGGTTTTTGGTGAAGAGACAGATGCTGTTTCTATCAATTTAGTCCCACTTAAAGGTTTATCGCTATCATTCACCCACAAAAGCACAAGACAGTTTTCACTCAGAAAAATCACATCTACCTTTATTGAACTAGTTGATTAGAAAAGACAAAATGTACCAAATTCTACATCTAAACGGTAAAACACATCACCATGTCTGACTGTAAGATCTTTAGTCATTAAAAATAAATGAAGTCAGATTAAGAACAGCAGATCGTTCAATTGAATTACATTAATAAAATAATAAGCACATCAGGACCAAAGACTGTTCATTTGCTCAAGTCACTCTCACAAGTTTTTACAAAAGGAGGAGAAATTAGTGAAAGGGTAAAGTAATAAACTAAAACAAGACAGATCGAGACAAAATAAAAGCAGCTCAAACTGCTCCGGGAACATGCCGGATCTTCTGGTGCCCATCAGGTCACAAGGTCACGGGACTTCCCATGAGCCTCTCCTGCCGCAGCAATATCAACCTGTTGTGCCACAGCTCCTCTGCCCTCTCCTTGTCCATGAACAACTGCAAGACAATGTAGGGAGGAGACGTTAGTGAGCGGACAGACAAACATACATATAGGGACAGACTGTAGTTCAGACTGCTGTTCAACATCTGGCCCTGCATTCAAGAACCAGTGTCGCTTTATTTTGTTTAGAAAAAGCAATTAGATGAACATAAAAACAGCCATGAATGGATAAATCTAATCAGAACAAACCAGGAATACCATAAACATGACATTTTAAATCATAGGGCACGGCATTTGTAAAAAAGTATGCTACTGAAAAAGAACAACATTAAAATTGCATTTCTGGTATGTGAAGGTATAAAATCTAAATCTGAAACCATAAAATGTTTTGCATTTTTCACTTGCAAAGTGACTTAAACAACAATCAGTTCAAATATTAAAAATAATCAAATACTGTTTTATAAATCCATTATCAAAATAATTTATCAATCGGTTTTAACTAGCTTGCAGCCAGTTCACAACATGTTCGTGATCTTTGTCTTTGTAGCCCTCTGAAAGCAAACGTGTGTGTGTGTTTTATTACACGGCCTGTCTAAATAAAAGGTACACAGAAACATAATACACACATTATGCACCCATGCCTGGACCTCATGCATCTTGACATACCATGAGCACTTTTGTTTTCCATAAGTTTACCTCCCTATCTAGGGATAGACACTTCTGTATGTTGTGCAGATTGAAAAGCACTTTGAAGGAAATTTGTGAAATCGCGCTCTATTAAAAAAAAGTGACTTGACCAACACAGGTGGAATTTGTTGGCCACCACAACACATTTGTAGTTGGACTGCTTCTTTTCAATGTATTAAAAGCAGAGTAAGCTCTACTCCGCAGTCTTCTCTGGCACTTGAGTCATTAACAAAGTCATTATCAAAGTCCACACTGAGGTCCAATGTGGACTTCTGAGTCTCAGTGACGACTCTCGAATGGATCTCATATATCATATTAGTCTTTCCCTGTCTGCTCCCTTCAAAATGCACATGAGGAAAAAAAAAAAACCTGTATTTTAAAAACATCTGTGGACCTAGCAGCGTGTTCCTCCACATGTGACATTCATCGCAGTACATCAGCAGCAGTCATGGTATTGATTGTAAGAGGGCTATAAAACTGCTACTGCAAGTGTCTGATGAATGAAGGCATCTGTTTACTAGGAAGTAACATAATGACCGTGAGGCCGAGAAGCAAGGCACATCTCTGTATTCACTATGTGTGTTTGCGAGATAATGTTGACAAGACGCTTTCTATGTCTACATACCGCACATCTATGCGATGATATGTGTCTCTTATTATGCAGATTGCCGAGCAACGACGTGCCACCTCGATCCTTCATATTCCTAACCTACGCCGCTTACAGCTGCACTGCATGTTATCTGTGTGTTAGATTCAACACCAGTGAGTTCTTGTCTGTCGGCAGTGCGCCGGTGTCATGGTGCTAATGAGGCTGTGTGTGTGGGATGACAGTATCTGGGCTGGGCTAATGGGACTCATCTGTTCTAATTGGAAGCGGAGCTGGAGCTGAAGCTGAGGCCGGGGCCCGCCTGGGGCATATTGCTACCATACATCAGCCTGTCTGAGGGGGTGCATGTGTGGTGCATTTGGGCTGGGG